GGCTGGCGGCCAGGCCAGGGCTGCAGTGCGGGCTCCGGAAAAGGGCTATTTTTAGCCATCTGGGCTTTTAGCCACTGCAGTCTCAAGGCCCTGCATTGGCGAGGGAGGGCAGGAGACAGGCAATGCCCCAGGCACAGGGCTGTACCAGCAGCAAGACCCTTGCCAGAGCCATGAGACAGGGCTCTCTGCAGCCCTCTTGCCCCAGCCTTCCACCCAGATAGGGCACATACACATTTTTCCTTCAGTTCAGCATTTAATCTTTTTTGGCTACAAAACCTTCAAAACAAAACCCAAAACCACAGAAAAGAAACCGGAATGGGGGGATGAGGACATGACAAGGCCCAGCCCAGAGCGGGCTCAGCGATGGCTGAAGAACCCCTGAGGGTAGTTGAACTTGAAGGGCTTCAGGCGCATGGGCCCCCTGGAAGAGAAGAGGGAGAGGGAGAGGCTGACCCACAGGGGTCAGGAAACCCCCAGGGTACGGCCCAGCTGTGGGGGGCAGCTAAAGGAGAGGGTCCACGGGACAGCAGTGCTACCAGGGTCCCTGCCAGCACCCTCACCCACCATCCAGCTCCTCACTGCCCCAGGCTCTCACCTGACCAGGCGCAGACACATCTTCTCCTGGGGAAACTCCTTGGGCCCCTCCACGCTGGTGTCGTGGGGCTCCGTCTCCAGGTAGACGTCCAGCACCATGCAGAGGCGCTGCAGCTGGTTGGTGAGGAGCTGGTAACCCGGTTTGGGCCCCCACAACTCCTTGTAGTTCACGTTGACCTCGCTCTCCATGGCCTGGCAGAGGGATCAGTACGGTGCAGGCTTAGGTCTCTGCCTGACCACCAGCTCACGCCAATGGCTTGCGCATGACGGAGACCAGAACCGCTGGGAACATCCCCCCAAAAGCCAGCGGTTCTCCAGCCTTCTATCCCACCAGCCTGGGTTACCCGAATGTTGTCATCGTTGCTGCTGTTTCGCTCTCCTTTCCAGTTCAGGCACAGGCTAAAGACAGGCGGCAGCGTGGAGTAACCGGGGTTCAGGACGACGGCAGCCTGGAGCTTGGCTGAGCAGGGCAGGGAAGAAACATCACCCGCAGGCCATGGGGCCTCCAACTGGAGGGAAGACCCCCAGAAGCTGCCCTGGGGGTGTGTGGGGTGGGAATTACAACTGCCAGGGGGAGGAAACGCACCTACCTGTTCCCCTTTCTATCAGGGCCATGTAGTAGAGGTGAGTGTCCTCAGCCAAGCCGGCCTCTATCACATCTTTAGTGTAGGGCAGCTCCTGTGAGGAGAGAGAAGAGGAGGAGTCAGCAGCTGCCGGCGCTGCACGGGAGCTGGAAGGGATCCGGCCTCGTGCTCGGTGCCTACCGCGTAATCTTCATAGGGAATGGCAGCCCACTTCACCAGGCGCGAGACGATCTTGGTAGGGAAGAGATGCTGGCACTCGCTGGAGACTGGCACAACGCCGTGCTCTGAAACCGAGGACAAAGCCACCTGAGCAGGGGCTGGGGACAGAGCTCTGTCGCTGTACTGCAGGTGGGGACGGCAGCAAAACGGGGACCTGGGGACATCATTATCCTTCCAACACCTTCATCGGGTGCCCAGAGAGAAGCCGTGGAGGCCTCGGCTGCGATCCCCCCGGAGCTCACAGCCTTGGCAGCGCACGCTGGGCCTGCTCGACAAGGTGCACGTGTGGGTGTGTGGTTCCCCTCCCACCACAGCCTGAATCGATTCCCAGCGCAGGGACAGCCAGTCCCAAAGGGGTGCTGGGCACCGAGAAGGGGCACAGCCTTCCTCTCCCACCCAAAACAAGGCAGCCCTTGCAGCCCCACTACCACTGAGGAGAGAGGGAACGACTAGGAATGATGAGGGCAGCACTGCCAATCCATAGCACCATTAAAGGTGACATCAGTCAGCTCTCCTCTGCAAGAGGACCTTGCTGCTGCACCTCTCATCCCCAGGCATGGGGTGGGGAGCCGGGCACTCACCGAGTGATGCAAACTGCTTGTGGAGAGCCAGGCGGGACTGCAGCCTTGTCCGCAGCAGCTTTACAGTCAGCTCCATGTGGCTGGCGCTCAGCGAGTTGTCTGCTGTGACCGTGTGCTGGGGGCAGGAGGGGCCGTCACCATCATGCCAGCCTGTGGGTCCCCACTGGGGAGCCCCACGCTCCAGGAGCCGCCCCACCCAGCCATGGGGACAGGCAGATGCTCGAGTTGCTGCTCAGTGCCCGTAACATGGCTTAGACTATCACACGCGGGAGATTAAATACATCGGCATGGCCCCACTGCACAGATTCATCCCAACTGAGCCTGTCCCAGCCAAGGGTGTGCCATGGTTTGGGAGTGGCTGGTGCCAGCTGGAGCTCCGGCATCTGGGGTGGGACAGGACACAACTGTCCCCAAAGCCTCCTCAAACCCCAACTCAATGTGCTGGTGGAGAGGGAAGGGGATGGGACATACCTGAGGCTGATCCTTGGGGAAATGCAGGCCGCCCAGCTTCTGCACCCACACGTAGGGGTGCCCCAGCTCTGTCACGTAGTCACTCAAGGTCAGGATGCTGTGGGGACAAGAAGGAAGGCTTAATGCCACCTCAGAGCATTCCACCCTTTGTCCCCGCTGCGCCCGGCCTGCGAGCCAGCTGGAGGGAGCAGGTACTTCTTTTGCCTGCACCCCAAGCTGTGTCCGATGTGCCCACCCAACGGCGACAAGCTGGGGAGGGACGTGCCGTGCCAGGAGCAGGGCAGTCACGCCAGTCATCTGGAGAAAGCTGCCCCAGCGCTCCACTCACCCCACTTTATCAAACTGAAACTGGTTGGCCGGGTTGGGTGTTTTCCTCCCGTGGTCTCCTGGATAGAGGCAGTTGAGGAGGGAGTCCGGGGAGAGCAGGTCGCTGGCACGAGGAGGGAAGAGGTTAATCAGCAGCAGTCCGGGTTCCATGTCTCTCTGGGGTGGCCGCTAACAGGCTCCGAGCCCAGGGAAGGGGATTACGAGCTCTGTGAGTTGGGGTTCAAGACCAGAATGGTTTTCCCCTAGTTAAAAAGGGATCTGCCTCCTCCCTGGCTGTGAGGAAGATAGAAATCACAGGGCCCCAGCTCCTCCATTTCCCAGGAAGCTGCCCACTTCAGTGCATTAACTCCGAAACCTGCTGATGTGTATGGAGAAAACACCGCCAGCATAGGCAGGGCACGGCCTGATGGCTGTTTGCCACCCAACAAGCTTAAGCAGAGGAATTCTGCTTAATAAAATAAAATTCTTCATGTGTGACTGTACCCACAAGCCCAACCAAGCATAAAGGGCTGTAGGATTTGGGGTTTGGCTCAAACCACAGCCTGACTGGTGTGGGGTAATACACAGGGCACCTGCAAGGGAGGGAGCACCCTGCACAGGAACCCTTTGGAGAGACTAGCTGCTGTCACGGAGGGGTTTGGGTATCTATGGGAAAAAGAGAACCCCAAGAGGAATGGAAGGCCTCATATGGGACAGGCTGGGAGGCAGCACTTGCTTCCAGGTAAGCCCAGACCAGCCTCTCCCGCCTTCTTCTTCCTCAGGCACCTCCTCCTGGCCCAGGGAGAGCCACCGAAGAGCTGGCAGCTGATCGGAGCTCCCTGGGCAGGCTCCCACAGCTGCCATTTCAGCTATTCCTCACAAAACCCAGGCTCCAGCAGTCTCTGGGGAGCCCAGGGAGAGGCAGCTGCATCTCTGGTGCTCAAGACAAGGTGACCTGCAGAGCAAGCAGGTGAAGGGAGCTGCCAAGCGCAGGCTGCAGGAGGGAGGAAAGCGG